TTTTTTTTTTTTTTTTGCCAGCTGAATTGTAATTTGAACTAATATAAAGAGACTGGAATTAAGAATCTAAACACGCCTATTTTGACAATTTTTGCGAGTTCAATTGTATTTTGAGCTATAAAATGAGTCTGGAATTAATAAACATTACAAATCGCCACATTTACTTAGACAAAAAAAAATTACTTTTAAGATATACATTTACGATGTTGAGCACAATGCATATGATGTTTATGGCAACACTGTGGATCCTTGTCATGGGTCCTCTTCAAGTCGTCTCGCCTCAAAATGCAGAAGGTTTGCTAGTTCCCGCTTTTTTTTTTAAAAAAAAAAAATTAGCTGATAAGCCAGCTTATAGTCTTCCAGTGAATTATCAGCTTATAACTGATGCCTTATAGCTCATATGATAAAATTGCATGGTAAAATTAGCTGATAAACTGACTGAAATAAAAGTTCAACGAGCTTATTTGAAAAACTACCCAGATAAGCTCGGGTTTTTTTTTTTTTTAAAAAAAAATAAACTCGTCCTACCAAACGAATATTATTTGAATATAAGAAGCTTATATACTCTAACAAAATAAGCTATAAGCTAACTTGACTATGAAACGTAGTCGTACTTTCTTACAAGATTATACATTTATACTTGTACATGGCATAACATTAATGTTTGTTAATACAACGATGCATATTAATCTTATGCATTAATTATTCAAAAATTCGTTTTGTTTGACAGTCGCTGCTCTAATTAACATCAAGAACATAATAACAAATGATCCTAATCAAGCTCTCCGAACCTGGGATAATTCAAGTTCAAGTCCTTGCCTTTGGGATCATATCAAATGCTACGACCCAGACAACACCTATGTGACCGATATGTGTGTCTACTAATCTATGTACTTTACCATTGTTAGAATATATTGTATATATGGATAGCATATATTAGTATGTTAGAATATATTGTATATATGGTTATAATATATTTTGTCTATATCTTGTAGGATTAGATTTAGGCTCATTATGTTCCTATATATATGTGTACATGTCTTTTGAATAATACACAACATATTTTTTTCCAAATTCTCACATGGTATCAGACTAGGTTTAGGATCCATTATAGATTTTTCTTTTGTCGCACATCTCTGGCCAGCACCGGTTCTCACCTCCCGCGCCATCATCT